TGTAAGTACATATTATATTTATATATCTGCGGACGATTTTCCCGCGTTTTCTTACGCACTACTCGACGTAATATACCTATAAGGCCATACGACTATATAATATATTGTTATTATACTTTACGTCACATAGGTACGACCTTTCAATATTTGATGTGGCGACTGGCAAACATAATATTTGTTCGGAGCGGTAAGATAAAAACGGTGCGGGCCCACCGCTACCTGAAGCACTGCGGGCAGGTGTGTTTGTGGCGTAAATCAAATAATAATGTGTACCTGCATAATAATGTATAAGACGTACACACACTACTGACGAAAAACCGATTGTCTCGATGATGCACGAGTGTGCGCGTGCACTATAGCGCGACCTCGATATTAACGTAAACCGCTTATTGTACATACAACTAATAATATGCATTATTGAGTGTATGCGCTTTCGAAATGTATTGGATATTATTCAAATCTATGTACACACGGCCCGTCTTCGTCGGATTCAATTTCACGGCCGCGCGATGGGACTCAAGCAGTCAGACGAATCAATGAAAAAAAAAAATAACAAATACCTAAAAAATACATTATTATAAATTTTCAATCCAACGCGGTTTTTTTTTATCACTATATAGTATGAAAAATTTGTAATTGTATTGTTATATTATAATACACACTGTTACGATGACGTAGTTGCGCATCACTCTCACTTGCGGTGTCTCCGAAAAAAAAATTTCGATTAGAATTTCGTACCGTATATTTACGCGCAAATCGTCGTGCGCCTGCWGCAGGAGTCGATGACCGAACCCGATATTATATTATTATTTTAATACTGTGTATATGATACTTATATAGAGTACAATCGAACTAATCCAATAAAGCGATGACGAGGAAGATATAATACGATATTAGCCAGCGCCGGTATAATATAGCACGTGGTGCGGCGGCGGGGATGATTGAAACGTCAACCGACCGCGCCCTGTAAGTATATACACCGTAGTCGTATGAATATTACATGTATTGTCGTCGGGGAAAACTGAAAATTATCGCGTTTTAACCACATTATGAGCCACGCGCGCGCTACACGGTGCGTCGGAGACGTTAATTTTTTGTATCGCGTCCCCGGAGACGGCGCGGCGTCGGTGGAGGTTCCTCGCTATGCGCGGGAGTGAAAAAAATTCTTCCCAGGGGACTCGGCCGAGTAATATTATTATTATTATTATTATTATTATTATTATTATTATTATTATTATTATTATTATACGTTTACTATCTATATAATTCTATATACGGTTGCGGTGAGTTTTTCAATTTCTTCCGTGATGTGAGTCCTGTAGCAAGTGCGGTTTTCAAGCGTGTGATGACGTGGTGGGGGTGGGGAGTGGGAACCGRGAAATATAACGGAGGAAGAGAAAAAAAAAGGCAAATTGAGGGTTGTATCGAGTGTGCGCGGTGTGCCGGGTCCGGAACCGTTTGTGTTCGAAAACCGACGTTCCGGGACGGTTGGCATCGGTGGCGGACACGTGACGGTTTTATTATTGTTATTATTATTATTGCCTCTTGCGTGCTGTGTTCACCCTCTCTACCGCACATCGTTTGCTTCTATATTATACGCCACTATTACATATAGTACGGTGCTACGTGCATATAATAATGATGACATAGTATATTTAAATGAAAACGACGAAAATGTTTCGGTCTTCAATATTACTATATACCAAGAAATAGAAGTAGGAAAAATCGTAAAAACAAACTTTGCAAAAAAAAAATCAAAATAATTAACATCGGATTCATCGGATTCGTTTATTACAATATACAGATAAAGTTTGGGAATGATGAAATCAAGCGCGCCGCCGTGTACTTTTATATAATATACCATATACCTGCTTCGAAAAAAAAAACAACAATTAAATCGTGGTGAGGGGGTAAAAAAAGGGGGGGTGGAGCGAAAAAAGTTTCAGAATGTAGTTGTGCAAAATCAATAGTGGCACGGGCGCCGCCGTGTTCGTTCCCCCCTCTTTCGTATTTAGTTTCTCTCGTAAACAACCCGGTAATTAACATTATTCTAATAGCTTCGCCGCCCTTAATGGGCCGGACTTTAATGAGCACACCAGCAAAAGGGGCCTAATATTCTTTGTCGTTTACTCTGATGCTCGCCTCTCGGCTTTGAATATATATATATATATAGGTACTGCAGTGGTATATTATTATCATTTTTATTATTATGTATTACGTAGGTATAATGTATATATTATATTTACAACGTTTCGTGTACTTAAAGTCACCCACCTCTGAGCTTACAAGAAAAATAATAAACCGGCAAGATTTATTATGATGGCCACAAGAATAGTTTGAACTATGTCATAATAAACTTGCACAACCAAAATACTTAAAATAATGCTGTTGAGTGTATAAGAATAATCAAAATACAATTTTATTTTACCTAGGTACTATATTTTAAGGTTTGAATTTTTTTTTCGAAAATGTTTATCTATATTTAATGAAGATTATCGAATTTACAATAAATAATAATATTCATACGAGTACATTTTCATACGTAAATAAATTATACGTCTTGTAATATTATGTTAACGTCGTATTTAACTTTTTTTTTTTAAATTTTTTATTTAACTATTCGCTGTTGATTTTTTTTACAGAAAACGTGTACATAGTACACAAATATATTATAAGCAGATTATAATATCAAATTGCATTACGTGTCATAAACGATTAAA